GGAAATGTCTGTGTATCTTATGGAGCGAATGTGTGGTCCGTCGCTGGCTCCCTTTCCGGCGCCGCCCCCTTGCCCAGCCCTCCACGGTTGAATGTTCTGCAGAAGGAGGCTGTTTGTTTCCCCAGCGACATGTGACTGGCTGATTAGATTATCTGTCTGGAAACTGTAGAAACAGCTCCCTTTCCTTTCCTAAAAAAGCTGCAGAACTGTGAGTTGAACCCCATAAAAACAGGATTTTTTTCCCTTTGCAAAGTAAGCTCAACAACTTTGAGCTGATCCTCAAAAAAAGGGGGCTTTCCCCCTTTCCTCCTCTAAAAACTAGGTGTGTCTTATGGTCAGGTGCATCTTATGGAGCAAAAAATACGGTAATCATTCCAGCAAAAGCTTTAGAAGGCGGGCGGGGAGAGAATTTTGTGAATGTGCTTTAAAATGCCAAACTATGTTGCAGGTCCTAAGGGAAAAATACCTCAGACACACAGCATCCCTATTGTTCAATTAATGCCATTTCAACGATCATGTTGAGAGAAATATACCATAATTTCTCGCTCAGCCCTATCTCCCTATCTGTTCATATCAAGCCCAGAGGATAAGGGGGGAAACGGGAAAAGTTTCTAATTAAGCTTTTTCTATTCCACCCCACCCGCAAGCCAGGTTTCATGTCTCTACTCAAAAGGCACATTTTTCACTTGCACTTTGTGGGTTTAGTATCGGGTTTCCACTGACATTTTTGTCTTAGCACAGTTGAAACAGAGCTGCTCCTGAATGTTCAGCGATTATATAATTTGAGCAAAATTCACTTTTCGCTATTATTTCATCCCCCAGTATGCTGAGAACTGGATTACTCATTATGCCCCTAAGCGTACAATATAATTCCACATGAGAGCCGTGCCATATTTTTTTACTGTTTCGATTGTGTTCTTCTAGCTTTGCGTTTTGTTTTTAAATATTTGTGAGCCACCCAAAGAACACAAGTTATTGGGTGGGAAACCATGGAGGGAGGGGAGAGACAATCATGATTAATAATAATAATAATCATGCGTCAAAAAGTGGCAATGTGTTTAAACCATAATGCTATTTTATTCCATCCTCCCTTTTTAAATCTAAAAAAACCACAGGGAAACACACCAGGAGGGACCCTGTAGAGTAATCCAATCATTGTACAGCCTGATCCTGTGAGCTGTTGTATCCACAAATAGAACTGATTCCTGTGCAATATCACAAACTGTAACCTGTGTAACCATTTAACCTACATTTTACACTGGAGCTACAACGTGTCACCCACAGCCTTTTAAGAAATCATTTCAAGCAACTTATTAATCAGATTTAAAAGGATTTAACACGAGAAATTTCCTTATAACAGCCTCATTCCTCTCATTAAACGGTTTATTTGGATAACCAGAAGTCTAGAAGAAAGAGTGTGGCAAGCCTGTACAAAGACACCCAAGATATGTGTTTCTGTGAGTCTTTCCATCCCCAGAGCTGTCTTTCCCAGTTGCCTTGCAGCCAACTGCTGGGAAGAAAACAAAAGCCAAAACACTGGCCTATCTTAGTCCTGTGTGTGTTTTTAATTAAAAAACCCCAACCACACAAGACCGCAGTGCATCTACTTTTCAAGTTTCTGTTTCCGACAGTAATTGTGTTGTAAAGGAAGAGATATTTTAATTGCAGGAACTCACTTCCAACTTGTCAACTTTCTGTTTCATCCAGTGCCACGGTTTTTTGTTGTGCTGTGTTGCTACGCTCGTCTCCACATTTTGCCAGTAGGCCACTGTACTAACAGGGGCTATCCAATTACTCAAAGTTATTTTTAGCTGGAATATTTAAAATAAGCATTTCACCCTCCGCTGTCCTTTTGTTTGTAAACAGTAAGGCCTGAAGCAGGACGAGCCCCATCCTTTTGGCAAGGCGCTGAACAGGACAGTGATTGAAAAGGGGTGAATCCATGCCAAGCGAACAACGTGAAAGGGAATTGGTCACACAAGAACTGCTTTTCACAAGGCAGCTGTCTTCCTTACGCCATTTTATTGAGAGTCAGTCAAGAAGGACTATATTATTCTCTAATCCATAAAGAAGGCTGATCGCCAAATAAATGATGCTTTTGAATTATGGTGCTGGAGGAGACTCTTGAGAGTCCCATGGACTGCAAGAAGATCAAACCTTTCCATTCTTAAGGAAATCAGCCCTGAGTGCTCACTGGAAGGACAGATCCTGAAGCTGAGGCTCCAATACTTTGGCCACCTCATGAGAAGAGAAGACTCCCTGGAAAAGACCCTGATGCTGGGAAAGACTGAGGGCACAAGGAGAAGGGGACGACAGAGGATGAGATGGTTGGACAGTGTTCTTGAAGCTACTAACATGAGTTTGACCAAACTGCAGGAGGCAGTGAAAGACAGGAGTGCCTGGCGTGCTCTGGTCCATGGGGTCACGAAGAGTCAGACACGACTAAACGACTAAACAACAACAACCCCCTTTAAAATAAAAGATCACAAGTAGGGCTGGGAGATGTCTGGTTTTCAACATCGTGATAAATCACCAGCTAAACATTGCAATATCCTGGCTTTATAGCATGAGGTCTGAAAAAAAGGATGAAGTTATGTAGAGGCATCGGATGGCTTCTCAGTTTTCCCCGCATCGTGATTTTTGCCGGTTCCTGCTCTTGTGATTCTTTCAATTTCTTGTTTAGTCACAACCACCCTAAGTTGTCTAAAGAACTAAAGTTATGTGCTGTTGACATGAGTAAGACGCTGAGGGCTTTTAAAACTCCTTGCAATTCTTCTACCAAGATGTCCCAACACCGAGTAGAAACGTGGCACATTATGCTCGTGATTTTATGACCTGATTTGTCTTCACTAGTTTACTTTCCCCTTCATGAAGCAGGCGAGAGCTGAGCTGGCAGAGTTAACAGGGGCTGTAGAAATCGAGAGAAACATTGTCCAGCTTCACGGTTTTCCCACGTGATTTCTGCATAGCCACACACATATATCGCCAGGTCAAAAATTATGAAACTGATAGCACAAGATGGACTTAGAAACAGCTTTGGGCTATATATCACCCAGCCCTAACACACATCATGATTCACAATATATTGCCAGGTCAAAAATTATGTAACTGATATCACAATATGGACTTCAAACCAGTTTGGGGAGCAATATATTGCCCAGCCCTAATCACAAGTTTTGTTCTCCAATATTTTTTTTAAAAAACAAGAGTCCCACATGAAATCCATGGACATCCAAAGGAAATCATTTGAGAACTTTGTTCTAGGATAGTAATTTCTCTTTCATTGCAACGTTGACAAGACACAGCTGGTATCACTAGGGAAAGATATGGTAAACCCAGGCCCATTTTAACAAAAAGCATAAACAGCAGTATGTGTGGTTATGTTCATTTGTGACACTAAAGGAAGTCCTTTGTTGTGCTTTTTACTGACAGAGGCCAGAAATATCCCTAAAGCATGCTGTTCATATCTAAGCCATTACTAACAGTTTTTTTGCTGCTTACAGGGAATAGAAAGACCTGGAAATAATGTCACTGTGTTCATCATTTGCACTGCATTTCAATCATGACAGCCGCCTACCATAGCAAGTGTCATATTAGCACTGCCCTGGGGTGAATAACAGCAGTTGTCATTTTTTAATAGCCCCTTTCTCTATATAGGATCGTTATCATTGCATTGCCTGCTGCTATTTTGGAATGGACATGTATGCATATCGTGATCAGGTCTGTTCTGCAAAAGCGCTTATCAGCAATCACCATGCAAATGAAACTCAGCCAGCAGCAGTAACAAATATATGCACTAAGAGGCAAGAAAAAGAATAAGCGGGAGAGCGGGGACTAACTCAACTAGGCTTAAGCCAAGTTGTTATGGGATTATCTTAGTACACTATGTAATAAAATTGTAAGGGTGTTGTCATGCTGCGGTTTGTGTGGCACACGGGTCCAGGCAGGTGAGCGGAGTGAATTGCCTGTCATGATCTCAGAGCTCATATGGGGAAAGGCAGGCTTTATATATAGGGGTCCTGAGTCATGTAAGGCGTCAAAACCAGCAGTATGATCTTTAGGTCTCTTCTGGAGTATGATCTCTTCTGGAGTATGATATGTTTTTATAGATTATGTCTGAATAGGATGAGAGTGTTGGAGATACGTGCAAATGTGTACGTGAACCCGGTCTTCGAGTGGGTGTTTGATTTTCGTTGTTGTGTATACTGTGTATATACGGACAATGACAATAAATTTATCTAATCTAGGTGACTACTTGCCACAGGCAATGTCTGGAGGGAGGTGAGAATCCTATGATTCCCTGATTTATATTTGCAAGAACAGGTTATTATTATTATTTTATTTCTGCAAGGGTCTCTGTCATGCTTTCCAACTCTGCAGAACCCTCTGCTTTTCAGCCCTGAGCAACTCCCCATATCTATCTATCTATCTGAAACAATATATAGAAAAATAGGTAAGACAGATAACCATGAACACATTGCCATGAGTATCTATCATTTCTGCACCCACAAGAAAAAAAGGAGTGGGGGAAATGAGATGATCTTTATACTTGAACGAAACAGAGAGAAAAGATTTATCGCAACATGCAATATGCTCTTTGCCATAGCAAATCAGATCACTAGTCATCAAATATTGTATTATGCCTCTAGCAATGCATGCTAAGTCATGTTTAAGAAAGATAGAAATGGAAAGGGGAAAGGAATTAGAAAATCAAGATAGGTCCAGTGTGTCAAATGAAAAAGCAATGCAATGTACTATTTCATAAATTGTTTTTTTTTTAAATAAAATACAAGTCAGCTTGCAATTAAAAGCAATCATCATCTGTCTAGTGTCCAAACACATTATCCAATATACATTATCCAACTACCTCTTGCAAGAATAATGAGAGGCAATTGCTTTTCCTGTCACCTGCATATTCAGATAGAAAAATAAAACCACAGAATTTCAGAGCTGGAAAGGACCACAAGGGTCATCTAGTCCAACCCCCTGCAGGAATTACTTGCCCAATGTGGGACTTCAACCCACGACCCTGAGATTAAGAGTCTCATTCTCTACCAACAGAGCCATCTCAGCATGCTAATAACTTGATGGAAAATAACAATAATTAAATTAAAAGTAGTTGGATGGTGATATGGTTCACTGTCAAACAGTGAGAAGGTGGACGATATCCAAATACCTTGCCTGTAGTTCATCAGAAGCATAAAGGACTGAGCGACATCAGATCAATGGCAAAGCAGGGTTTCGGTTTAGCTCTCCTGCATACTTTTACATTTATTTATTTAGAATGGCAACATTCCAGCCATAAAAATCCACTTCCATGCTATGAAAACCTGATAAGCTATAAGTCTTTCAGAAACCATACCATCCCTACCCAGTCAAGGATTTGCAAAGCACAGAGTATTGCAAGGCTGATACTGATTTCTATCTACTCAATGGTATCTGCAAGAGGATATGTGTTCCACAGAAGGGAAACACAGAAGAAATGGGGAGAGGGAACCCGCTACGCCATGATTTTGGAGAACCTCAAAATGTCTTCTGGGGAGGAAACATGCCTTTTAGAATGAGAGAAATGCTTTCTCAAGCAAGGTTTGCTCACTCAGAACATGTAACACAAAGCTTTCTATGCAAGACAATATCTGCATTGGAGAATGACTACTCCTGTGTAACAGTGATGCAGGGTCAGAAAGGTTTTCCAAAATGGATTTTCCCCAGTGCTTTAAATTTAAACATGGGCACTATCAATCAGAAAGCAAAGCACTCTCTCACGTCTAAATGAGTAGGATTTTGAACGTCCTTCTGGCTTGTGTACTGTATAGCTTTCTACAGGAAAAAAAGAATAAAAGAGCACCCGTTTTCTGTGTGGGGGACCTTAAATATAACATTAACATCGCAAAAGGGAATTGACTGGCTTTATTCACACATATTGATCTACTTCTCAAATAGGCATTTTTAAGGGCTTTTTTTAAATATATATACTCTTTCCCAATCTCTGATATATATATTTTGCTCTAGTTTGGTCAGAATTGAGTATACACTTCCAGAGTTAATGCTAAATGCATTACTTCTGGTAAATGAGCCACCATAGCCGTTAGAGGGTCATGAAAATTTGTGTCCCAGGCTTTTTTGACTCGTCTACCCATGTATTATCTGAAACCCAAGGGGTGAATTGGTTGCCAGATGTGAATTTTTCCCCAGCTCTCCTACCCAAATACAGTGGAACCTCGGTTGTCAAATGTAATCCGTTCCAGAAGACCGTTCAACTTCCAAAACATTCGACGACCGAGGCGCAATGGGCTATCAGCAAGTTCAGTGGGAAAATTGAGAAAAGTGCCTTGGAAGCCGTTCAACTTCCGAGGCGCGTTCGAAAACGGAAGCAATTACTTCCGGGTTTTCGGCGTTCGGGTTCCGAATCGTTCGGCTTCCAAGAATCTCAAAAACCGAGGTTCCGCTGGACTTCTTTCTAGGAGCCAACAACTGGCCGCAATAGCTACTTAAAAAACAACAGTGAGTTGCCTCAAATGTATGAGAGAAAAGCAAAAGATAAGCATTTTCAATTCATTAAAAATAATTCTACACGTTGTCTGAGGAGGGAGGAGCACTGGGCTGGGGGCGGAGGAGCTACAGTGAGCATAATCTGAAGATTTCTGTGAGCATAGAAAGGAATCAGCACTTAAGCGCAGTAGCTAATTATGAGGATTTAACAGCTCAACAGAGAACAAAATAATTTATTACAGGGACAGAAATGTATCATTAATCGAGCTTCCCTGTTTTCAAGCTTAAGGCGCACATACACACAAAACACATAGCTCCAGGGACAAGCTTTCATTAAATTCCTAAAGCAATGCATTTGCTTTATTTAGCTGAATAGGGAGCTTGTCCATTATTTAGATAATGTAAACCAAATGCTAAACTAAAAGCGCTGCTTCTAACAAAAACAGAATTTAGATTTGCATAATGCCACACTGCTCTTGTTCCAGTCAGTACTATTAGGATAAATAATGGAATTAATTCCTGCAATTTGTATTGCAAATTTGAATACTCAAGGGTTCTCTTTACATAGATTGGCTGTGTCCAGATACTGCCCTGTACCACAGTGTGCTTCTATGCTCAAATCTGCAACAGCCCACAGACCAGGGTTTGCGAGAAGCTGCCAAATCAGGATTATCAAGCTACGGTTGAAACTGGCTTGTAAACCAAAGTTTATATGCTGCTTTTTGCCGTTACATGTGAATTTGCGAACCAATGGCAGGAACGCTGCTCTACCAGAATAGGCTGCTGGAGATGGGAGTGAACCTTTGAAAATGAATGCTGAGCAGGTGGATGTGAGACAAGGCGCTTGGGAGCACATTATGTTTGAGGTAATTTTAGAATCTCAAACCCTCAGTGGAGGTTTCAACCATGGTTAGCACAAATCATAAGAATGCATACCTTATAATAAATTAGAGACTTGGTCCATTTAGCCCTGTTGTGTGTTTTTTTTTTAATCCACTCTAGCCACCACCTGAAATTATATGCTCACACCTCCAGGAGAGTCTCCTCTACAACAGAGGTGAGAAGACTTTAGGCTTGTGAAATCTATTTTTTTAATGTAGTCATACCTTGGGTGGCGCTATGGGTTAAACCACAGAGCCTAGGACTTGCTGATCAGAAGGTCAGCGGTTCGAGACGGGTTGCTCAGTCCCAGCTCCTGCCAACCTAGCAGTTTGAAAGCACATCAAAGTGCAAGTAGATAAACAGGCACCGCTCTGGCGGGAAGGTAAACAGCGTTTCCGTGCACTGCTCTGGTTCACCAGAAGTGGCTTAGTTATGCTGGCCACATGACCCGGAAGCTGTACGCCGGCTCCCTCGGCCAGTAAAGCGAGACCCCAGAGTCGGTCACGACTGGACCTAATGGTCAGGGGTCCCTTTACCTCGGATCTCGAATGGCTTAGTTGCCAAAATACAAAATAGGTACAAAATAGTGGCTTTGGAAAGAGGACATTAGTTAAGTGTTAAGAACAAGGTGTCTTTTCTTCCATGTTTTCAAAAGCTTAATTTAGGGTGGGAAGGAAGCCTGTGGTAACCTCCAGATTAGACTACTGGCATGTGTTATACATGTGACTGTCTTTGAAGGTGGCTCAAAAACTGGAGTTAGCCTAGAAAACAGCTGAAAGAGTGTTGGTTGGGACTGGGTATCGCAATCACAATGCCATACTTCACCTGTTGCATTGGCTCCCAGTTCATTTCCAGGCTAAGTAACTGAAAGTGCTGGTTTTGACCTTGATGCTGTGGGCTTAGGATCCCTGGTGATCTGCTACTCTTTTATGTAACTGCCTGCACACCAATATTTTAGACAGAAAAAAATATTTTTTTGGGGGGTGAACCTGCCTTGTGAGGTGCTTTGGCTGACTGAAGTGGAAAAGGGACTCCTTGGTGGTGGCACCCTGACTAGGAACTGCTCCCCCAGAGGGAGGCTCACCTTGTGCCTATCTTGATGCAAGGCAAAAGCCTTCTATTCCCCCCGCCCCGGGCTTTTAACTCCTCTGAGCCACTAAAGGTCTTTAACACCAAAGTAGCCCCCAAACTCCTGTATGGCATTCCATTATGGATTAACCAATCATTGAAGCGTATCCAGAGGCTGCCGAATTGTATGCTTTATGCAGCCATGTGTCTGGAAACTGGACAAGGGCTGCTGGAAACCAAAGCGTGGCTCCCCACTATAAAATTCTGGCTCTGCCTACATTTCATGTCCGACCTGTCTTCTTAAACTTTCCACATGCTGTCAGAATCCCACCACTCCAAATGGTTGGCTCCCATTGAAAGCATTGAAAGAACCTGTGGCCTATCACTCGAGTCGCTGCTCATTCTCCCACAATTGGAATCATTCCAGACAATCAAGTGCAGAATCCTGGAGACTGAATTCAAAAACCCTTTGCAGCACAGCCAATAAGACCTGTTCCCCATTGGGGCTGGGAATTCCACCCTCGTTTGGCCAGGACACTCCATATTTGCACCAATTTTATGATCCCCACCTACGCAGAGCTTTTTCCCTCACAAGATTTAAAGTCCTACCGCCCATATTCTGAAAGATACTGTCCTCGTGGCACAAAACAGGTCAAATCCATCACACACGTTTTATTTTATTGCCCATTTTATGCAAAAATATATGGTAAGTATTTTGGTCCCCTTAATGAAGGAGGGGATTTATCGCACTGACTCTTCCCTTCCAGGGTTGTGGAGAATGTGGCAAGATTTTTGAGTGATGCCATAAAGTTATGTCCTAAGAGCCCTTTTCATCATACCTCACTATGTCTGGACAGTTTTATCCTAAAGTATCTCCTGCTATGTTTTGCTAACCATGTTGTGTTCTGATCCATGTATACGGTGCACTTTTTCTATGCCAGTAAAGGAGACTGATTGATAGAACTCCTCTGATCATTGTTTTTCTTCTTCTTCTTAATTGCTGGTTCATGTTGGTTTTTTATTCTGCAGACTGCTTTTGTACGTAAAGTTTCGATTCTTTCGTTTTCATGCGTTTTATTGATGTTTCAACTCTTTGTAAGGCAGCCTGGAGACGTGTTGAAGGGCAGGGAATAAATTTAGTGCATATACGCCTGAAATTTCTATGCGCCCAAAGAGCTAGGATAGTGTGTGCTTGTCTTCCATCCAATCCTTTTCCATGTGAGAAACAGGCTGCTGGGGGAGTAATGGGAACTGCGGAATCTTTCCTTTGAGCTTTTCACGAAAAGATCCTATAAAAAAAGTTATTTTTATGTGACCTGTAGAACAGCATATTCTGCCTCTGGGCAGGGAGTTGAATGAGACATATCAGGGCAACTAATTGCGATTCCCAGGCAAAGAACTCTGGGGCCCTTCTAACATGGCCACATGACTCATAATATTTTCAATCGAGGCATTTTGGCCTCTCCAGTCTTCAAAACCCACAGAGTGCTTAGCATTCCCAAAGCCGTGGCCCAGCTTTAAACATGAAAAACATGTTTAAAACAGGACCTCCAGTTCTGCTAAGCAAATCAAACCTAGCGACAAAGAGAGAGAGAGCACTTTAGAGAGAGAAAACCAGAATTAGAAACAAA